AAGTCCAAGATGTTCATTAATAGTATTTAATAGTATTTAATAATTGAAAAAGATAAAAAAAGTGATTTCATGATAAAAATTAGCGTTTAGACAACATTTTATTCACGTCATAAATTATTTAAGGTTTAAAAATAGAATTTGATTAAGTTCTAATGGATATTGTTATTATTTCTTACTTATTAAGTATGCATTGAAGATAAACAAAACTGTTGGTTTGACATAGGTTACGAATCTTAACCTTTGGTAAGTATAAAATTATTGTTAATCTTTGACATTGACTCATGTTTTTACGCCACGTATGTTTTTGCTAAGAAGAAACAATGCAGCGAGGTGTCGATAAACAGAATCATTACATAATCGATTGATTATAATTCGTGTTGTGGAGACTTCATTTTAAATATTTTATTAACTTTTGAAATAAACAAAAACATTCAAGAATTACATCCAAGAAGTAAGAAGAGTCGTTATCGTCACAAAAGTGAACACTTTGAGTGATATTTATTCAGGACATTAAATATTTTATTGAGACAAGTTTCTGTCGTTTTGTTTAGGTAAAGTCGACAGAAATGCATATCGATAGGTGATAAAAAAGAGCAACGATTCATTCATCGATGAAGAGTTCATAAAATGCATAAGAGACGATAAAGAAATCAAGCAAACCACCAAGCAAGTTCATTGCCGTTGTCAACCTTCCCATTCTCTTTCATTTGACATTTCTTCTTCGAATGTTGGAAGATTAAATTTCTGTGGGTGTTGAACTCTTCCAAGAATAATTTCATTAAAATCTAAAAATAAAACAATAAATTAATTTAAAAACCAAAAAAGCTTTCCGAAAGTTCACTAACAAAATCACTCAAATGAGAACATTACGTGGAAGGAAATGAAATGATAAATATCCAGCTAGGTTCATCCGAGCTTTCTTCAATTGTTTTGCAAATTTTCACTGTTGGAATTTTTATGGCGCTCATCATAAATCTACAATGTGCCAAGGTAATGAATAGTTCAGTTCTTAGATTCCCATAGCAATCAAGTCATTCATTTGACTTCTTATACAAGAACACCCACAGAGTACTTCATCTTCTCGTTCTTTCGTCTTTATTGTTTATTGTTGAAACTCTCAGAGTTTGGTTATTTATTCCAGCAGAAGATATTTTATGGAGATTTTATTATGGTTGCGTTTATTTATCTGAACTTCAATATTTTCGATTTAAAGTTTTTTGTTGTAGTTGTAGGTGTCTGGCTACATGCGCTTTTGGAAATTTGGAACATTTCAAGAACTTAAATACACTTGAAAAGTTCCATTTTCGGTAACCCCTAAGAAGTTTTCCTTTCTTTTGTTTATTTATGCTTTTAATGATAGTTTTTTCTATTGTTTAGTGAAATGCTTTTAGCGGCTTTCAGTTTTCAAGTGTAAAAGTTTTCGAATAAAAATTTTAAAAATGTTAAACTTGAAACTATAAGTGAAACACGTGAAGAGAAAAGCAGCGCAGTTGCGAACTGAAGGCTCTTGAATTGAAAACCAAGTAACAAGAAAAAGATAAACAAAAAACATGACAAGAGCCAAAGTTTGTTTTCAAAATAACATCTGAAAAATTGTGTAATCTTCGTGTTCGAACAATAAAGGCAAGAAAGCAATCAATTAAGGCTAAAAGTCTCCCGCACTGTACGAAACGATTTTTCTTCTTTTTTTTTTGGAAGCAGAAAGGCACAAACGAATGCGAAAAGAAGGATTTAATTTTCCAACATTCTCCTGTAGATGATTTGAGAGCTGTTTCATGTTTCTATCGAAGACATTACACTTCACTTGCTCATGTTCTACAAAGATTTATGTTTCTCCTCCACAACGTTCTGAGCTCTTGATGCTGTTTTATGTCACAAAAAGATTATTTTCTCCTCTCACTGAAGACTGAACTGAAAGAAGTTTATTCGTTTGGTGTTTGTTGCAGTTTCAGATATGAGAAGAGTTTGATAGCAATAACATATTTCGGCTTTTATTTCTGTTTTCAAATATTCAGATGTGATGAAGATAAAGTTTTCTAATAGAAAATAATGACGAGAGAGTTAAGGTTTTATTAAGAATTTGTTGAGTTTGAATTCATAAACAGAAATAAATTCTAAGCTTTAGCAGGAAATATTTCAAAATCTTATTATAAAAATCATAAGCACAAGAAGGAAATATTCGGAAGTTCAGAAGATTTTCTTCGTATAAAATGTAAATCAATCAGTATCAGCAAGTTATTAAATTAACATTAAATTTTGTTATGAATTTATGTGTAAGGAAAAAGAAATATTTTTGAGGATTCTTTTGATGTTTGGTGCTTTCAAGGAATATTTATGAGGAATGCTTGCTTTCTTGCTTGCTTAATGTTTTTTATTCACTTTACGAAGATTCTTTTCCTTCTTCGTGTTCATCATGTTTATAAAGTTGCGGATGAACTCGTATCGCGTGCGCTTTCATTTCCGAAGCGACGACAAAAAGAGATAAGAGCAAATATTTGCGTGTATTTCTTCATCTTTTCAAGTTTTAAGCTTGTTTGAGTTCCTTCTTCTATCTTTTTAAATTTCAGAATATTATGAAAGGAGAATATTTTCCTCATTTTTCTATTTGTGAGTCTGATCTGATTTCTTGTTTTCTTCACGCTCTACAAAACTCAACCCTAAAGGCTATAAATAATAGAAAAAAAGTGCAAAAAAAGTTTCATTTTACCTCATAATATGCTTATCTAACACGTAAGAGAAAACGAGAGTTTTGAAGTTTCATTCTTTCATCTCCTGGTGCTAAATTGTGTTTATTTTCGTGTTTATTCAATAATCAACTTTCCCTAAAGCAGAAAACAAATAAGATGAAAGCTGAAAAAATTTGATTCTTTATCTTTGTTTTTACATTCTCGTTCCGTCAGATTCAAAAAATGAATTTTTTAGGCAATGAAGAATTGCAACTTCACAAAGAAATTCCCTTTACAAATGCTCACGTCACAATGAATTTTGACACACAAAAAGGAAACTTTTAATTAAATTTTTAGAAGATGTTAAAAAATGGAATCTGGTTTATGTTGAATTTATTTTGACACTGCAATATATGCTCAAGTTTTGTCCTGAGAAATAAAAAAAATTAAAGTTTGAAGCAGATAAGTTTTCACGTTGAAAGTTTGCAAAGTCTACAGGAAAATAAATGAATTAGAAAGTTTGTGATATGCGAATAAACAAAGGCATTTTTGTCTCAACCCGTGATAGCATTTAATTAATGCTTGAGCTTCTTGTAATTAAGCACGTTTCGTTTTAAACTTCAAACACTTTTCTCCACTTTAAATCATGACCCCCTTTCAAGATTCAATTAATTAACGATTAGAAATTAATTGCTAGTAATTAATATTCTATTTGATCAGAAAGAACTTTGTAAAAACGTTTTTAAATGAAGGTTGAGAAAGTTAATTTATTAGTTGGTGTGAAATGAAAAATGTTTTAATTTTTTCTTCCTTTCCAGTTGAAGCTTTTTCATTTGCTTTTATAATTGAACGTGACTCAGTGGGTAATGGTGAACTTTTCTCGCTTTTAATTGTGAATTTGTGACAGTTTCATATTTCAGATAACATCATTCCTTTTTATGTCTTCTATATTTTAATTACTTTACTGAAAATGTGTAGAATTCCTTTCACAGACGAAAAAATTTCACAATTCCCATTGAGACTTTCTCGTTAAAAAAAATGAAACGATATAAACAAAGATCCAAAAACATCAAAAATAAAAATGTCATCGCACTAACTTATCATTGCTGGGACTAGCACTTGAATTATTTTCCCAAGATTACAATAATCATTATGCTAATGGATGTTAAACGAACAGAAATAACATGCAGAACTGAAGCGAACAATTTTCGGTATCGGATCAGAGGGTGGGCGTACCATTTCGTGTTTTACATCAATTTAGATTCGGAAAATTCACAAGTTAGAATGGAAATGATTGCGTGAATTCGGTAAAGATGAATTATTTACTCTACGACCTGTTAAAGTGAGGTAAAAAGTTACTTAAAAACTCAATTGAATTGATGGCATTAAAAAAGCAACAATTTAATTTCGTTTTTCTTCAAGTCAAGAAATTGAAAAGCTTTTCATTTTTAATTTCTTTTGAAAGAACAAGAAGACTTCATTTAGTAGCATTCACAATGTGCTTGTGAAGCTTTAATAGGGTTGAAAGTAATGACAACAAAATATTTATGCCACTAACACACTCACTGCTTGATATTTACAATTCATAAAAAGCTTGTCAACCTAAGCACGATAACATTGAAGACAAATTGAAAGCTTCAACATCCGCTCGAACACAATATTGTGGGAAATTAATCATAATGAAGCGTTAAGTTCTGTGGTCTCACAATGAAAATGACAATAAATAACAAGCAATTTTCCATCGTTCGAATAATGAGAAGCAAGTGTTGAACATGGGGCACAGATAAGCTTTTTAATCAACGAATGAGTATTTCATTTATTTATTGTGCTCGCTTTAGTCCTAAATTTCATATCCAACACATGCATTGCCACATTGTCGCATGTACATTAATTATCCACAAACTCACTCGTTTTAATGAAAAAGAAATTATTGAAATAAATTAAATATTATATTTGAACAATATTTTCGTGGGAAACTAAAACTTGACATTTAAATGTCACGAGCAATTGAAAAGTTTTAATTGATAAATATTTGTGTAGGCTGAAATGTTAATTTTTAATCTATGATTTCGTAAAGTTCCAAATTCTCAAAACACTTTTCATAATTTCTTATTTTGGACTCAAAGGATAACAAAAAATTATTTTTATTTGTCTCAAATTTACAGTAGAACAAAACTTTAAAATCAAATTAAAAAGAAAACAGACTGAACAATGAAAGAGACAAATAAATGAAGATAAAAATTTAAATTTGTTTGTATTTTTCCAGTGTAGACTTAAAGTTTCTTTGAGCTTCAACAAGTTCCGTGACAGCTTCCGGTTGATTTATCAAATCATCCTTCAGAGGTTCGTCAAACATTGATTGAATGACCTCAAATGCTGAAGTTTTGATTCCATCACAATTGAAGCGACATCCAAATTCCAAGACCTCAATCGCGTTATCATCATTTAGATCATCTATGATCATATCTTCAACAATTGACAACAAATTTTGAACTTTAAACTTTTCTGCGAGGTTCAAAAGTTCTTTTAAACCTGCAAGTTCTCTTCTTTCGAACTCACCGACGTAGAAAAATTTTATGAAAATCTTCACTATGTCTGCATTTAAGTTTTTAAGGTGAATTTCTCCGGATGGTCGATCCTTCATGTCATTGTCGAAAATTGAAGCAAAAACTGAACTTTGAACTGCCAAAACCACTTTATGAGCTTTGAACTTCTCAGTTTCTGTGACGATTGTTACGTCCGAACAAAGCCCAGTTTTCCAAAGATCTTTGAATCTGTCTGAAGAGATATTTTTATTTTTGTTGCACATGTCATCAATCATTGTCCAGAACTGGGCAATAGAATCAACATGTTTTTCATCCATGATAGGCGTACGAGAAGAACAATAAAAAGCGTCAATGGAGCGATTATTACGAAGATCTATTTTATAATAATTTTTCGATAAAGGCTTGAAAACATCTGAAGATATGCAATGCAAATCGTTTTCGCGGAATGAAATATATTTAAGTTTCGCCATATTTTGAAACAAATTGCTTTGAAGTGAAGTGATTTTGTTACGACTGCAATGAAGCGTCCTAAGGTTTTTAAGTCCAGTTAAATCTCTGCGTGTAATTGACTTCAAGCCACAATTGTAAATGAAAACAGCTATCAGATTGAGAAATATTTTATTCAGGCCTTGAGGGAAATAGTTAACTGTTGTGTTTTCAAATTTAATCACTTTGACATCTTCATCTTTTTTGCCATTCACGTGTTTTCCAGAAATCTTTCGAATTTTTGTATTCGGCTTTATTAATGAAATTGATTGAATTACAGACGTGTAATAAATTTCTCCACTCAAATCAAGTTTCTCTTCAAATACACATTTTAGCTCCATATGGTTAAAAATTTTTAATTTAATTTTGATTTACTGACTTAGAAACGTTTCAAGTGCAACTGAATTGAAATGACTAAATTTCAAGGGTTCAAAGTCCTTATCAGTTGCATTGTGCGTTAAAAAGGGATGATAAACAATGATCTCCGCAATCGACGCACACCAACAAATCTCAATTTTTTTTCATTCTGCGTGCAGAGTTGTGTTGACTTTATTGATAAAAAATTTGAAGTTCTTCTCTAAGTGTTAAAATAAAGATCTGTGATGAAGTTCAATAGAAAACATTTCTGTGACTTATCTCATACAGTAAATTATAATTAAAAGTATAGAAGGACTTTAATTAAAGTTATTTAAATGTTTTGATGTTATTGAAAATTATTCAGAGGCAACACACCGAAAATATTTTGAGAAAGTTTTGACGAAAAGTCTATGAGAAAAAAAAACAACCGAATAAAATTAACTAAGATTCCATCATGCTAAGATCCAATGATGCAAAGTGATTTGTGTTCTGTCGCTAGTTCTTGGAATTTAAAAATTAAAATTGGAGTTAACAATAAATTTGAAAATTGTTTCTAGGTGTAAATACTGTGGGCGAATTTTAGCCTTTGATATTATTTGAATTTAATTTATGCTTTGAAATAAATTTTATAAGGCTTTCTTTACAAGATTTTCATTCAAATAAAAGCCTTTCAAGACATCCTTTTTTATCATGTCTTATTATGTTAAATATCTGGGTTTTTGATTTGAACGTTTGATATTTTGAGATTTCTATTAAAAGGTTTTTATTATTCTCACTTTGTTTAGAAAAGTCAACAGCAAAAACTTTTATGTTAATATTTAAATTATAGCCAATTAGGCCAATGTTAAGAAAATTTTGCTGTTGACTTATCTAAATGAAGTAAGAATAACAAGAATCTTCAAATAAAAATATCAAAAATTCAAAATCAAATACTGAAATGTTTAACATAATTATGTACGATAAAAAAAGATAATTTCCATCTAATTAGTTAAACTGGAAAACCCCTTAACTCGCTTTAAATGTCAATGATAATCCACCTAATTTGAATAAAAATTCAAATATCAAAGTAAATTATACTGCTTCAAAGCCATGCTTAATCACTTATTAATGATCATAATGGAAGGTTAATAACTAAACTTTCATTAATATTCAAATAACTTCTCCGAGTAAGTGTTGCTCACTCAATTATATCTCTGGTTCTTCAGATAATTTCCTTAACCACAACACAATAATTCAGATTTAATTCATTTCTTCTTTTTAACTAAATTAAATTTTCATTCATTTTCAGAATAACTTTCTCTAATTTCAGTTTTTTTTGTTTAAGCTTCAAAGAATTAATCTTTTCACTAAAATAAATCTTCCATCTCTTTTATGAAACTACTTAGAAATACAAGACGAGTAATTTCCGTAAGCCTGAAAATAGAATAAAAGCCTTGTTTGAGAGGTTTTCTCTTTGGTTTTCAGGATTTCCTTGAACAAAAGCACATTTTATATGAATGAAAGTCCCAACTCTTGTGTGCTGAAACTTAAAATATTAAAACCACCATAGATTAAAAATTTTGCGAATTAATCAAGAAATAACAAAACTTTACGATCGTTGAAAGTTTTTTCTGGGATTCAAGTTTTCCAGTGAAAAGGTATAAACAATCACGAAGAGAACAATAGCTTAAAATTTTCTTCTTAAATAAAAACCATCAGTTGAAGTCTATTGAAAAAGTTTTTAGGCGACCTTTTCTCTCATTTTTCCATCTTTTTTCACAGAGATGCGTGAGAAGCAAGATTAATGATTATTGTTGCTTCTCTAGAAAAAAACACACAGAAACACTAAAAAAAGGTGCAAAATGGATGATAGCGAATATTTCATCAATAGATACACTCAATTCTTTACTCCCCATTGAATCACAAAAGCTTAAATGAACTTGCGGCAATCGATTACATTAAGGATGGTAGGCAGGTATGCGAGTCCTTAATTTATTATATTCACCAATTCCGCACGATCTCGAAATAAAGAAGTGAACTTTATGATTTCACCTTTGTTAGGTCATTAAGTGAGTAGCGCCACCAACTGTTGATACTTATTTCATTCCACAATCTTAAACATCAGCTTTCAACATGTTGAAACTAAGCCAACGAAAGTTGAAGCTTGTAAATAATCCACAACACGTGTTGTGTTAAAACAATCGCTTTGAAGATTCAGGTATCAAACAAGCAAGAAAATATGAAATGATAAACAAGATGAAAAAGAAAAGATTTTTCATTTTCGTCTTCTTCATTCAATTGAATCACTTTGAGAATCGTAAAATATCTTTTCATTGAAATTAAATTGCATAACATCGGAAAGAAAAACATCAAAAAGCAATCGAAAGTTTACACGTTTCATAACTCGTCTATCATTTTAAAATAAATTGAATTTTCGTCAATTGAATAAACTCAAATGAAAGATGGAGAATTGTTCAGTTTGAAAATATCATTCATTGGAGCGCAACGCATAAATATTTCTGCTTATAATTTCTATCTTGACCAAGCATAAGCTCAAAATGCTCAACACAGTTGAAAGGTTTTTAATGTCGTTACATTGTGTGATTCTTGTATCGTATCAGTTCTCATAGCAACACTCTGCAGTTATCTTGTTGAAGGTATAAGCATAAAATATGGCGTAGGTAAACCTTTATCTCTGCATGCGAATAATTGAAAATGTTCGTAATATTATCTACATCGTTTTCAACCTAATAATTTGCAGAGATAATAAGATTCGAAAGCATAAAATAAAATAATATTGTTATTTTACGATTGGCCCGCATGTCGGAAAGATATCATTTGTTTATATTGCATGGCCTAAAATAAAAAAGCTTTCGTACTTTACTCCCAGTCTCATTGAAACACAATAAAAAGAAATATTTTTCCTTCTTAGAGTGGAATCGAAGCTTTTCATAACTTTATTATAATAAGTAAAAGGTATCAATTCTTCTTGAGTTCTAACCCAAGTCATGACTGCTTTTAAATCTTTTTAAAGATGATTTTCATACGGCAATCTCAGGAAAGATAGCGAGAGGGAGTGAAAAAGAAAGAACAAGAAGAAATTTCAGGGGGAATATGTTTACATGTCATGAAGATATTCAAGTCAAATAAATAATATGAAAAACATTTCAAGTGCCGATTTTGAGTGTGGAAATTGTTTTTGAAAGATTTTGTGATATTTTATTTCGTAAGCGTATTACATACAAACATGCATTGATGAAATTGCTCTTGACTTCTTACGCATGTTTCAATTGAACCTTTTTTTTCCTTTATTTTTGATGCTTATGAATATCAGTTGAGAGAAAAGTGAATCATGATAACATGAATACTTATGTTGATACATATATTTAGAATGATTGCTAATGGAACTTTAGTGAGTAGAATTTGAAGACAAGTCTGTTTGTGTTTCATTTAATGTATCGTTTTACTTAATTAAAATAATTAAACATTATTTTGCCTTGGAGTGATTTATAATTATAGTAAGAAGATTGATTCCAATCTTACATAAAAAAAACAATTAACATAAGTGAACATTTTCGAAAGCGAAAAATGTTTAAGCATCTTCAAATATTTGTAGATCGAATAGAAATTGATTCCTAATTTTCAATACATCATTCAAATTAATGAAGTCAATAATGTCAGATTCATTTATATTATTATTTATTGAAGTCTTGCTTGGTTTGATTTTACAAGACTGAATGACGAAGTAAAATGCCTAAACTTCAATAATATCAATAAAAGGATGAGAAATGATTTCAAATTCTGACAGATGTCAGTTCGCATAGAATATTTAACATGATCAAAGTTTAATCCAAGTTAAACAATCTTACTTTCCAATTTCTGTTTGTTCATTAAATATTTATAAAACTTTGGGAAAATTCTCGACGATATCATGCCACAAGGTTGTCAATTTTATTCATTGTAAATCATTCTGTTTATTCGATTTTTAAGCAAAAGAAAAATATTCTTATTGATGTTATTTGTTGCATGGTAACTTGACGAAATCGTCTATGAAACCAAAAAGAAAAAAAAAAAATTTCCTTTGCTGGTCGTAAACAGTGTCTGAAGAAAATTGTCGCTAATGACTTACGACTTGATTAAATTAAAAAGGGTTTATCATTGTGAAGTTTTTTTCTTTACTTTCGCTTGTCTTTTCATGAGAAACTGACAGAAGCATTTCGTTGTGACAAATTCAAGATGAGGGTTGAATACTTAATCGATATTGATTTTTTATAGCAGCTTTTACGCCAAAATAAACCATTGATGGCATTGAAAGAGCATGAGAGCGTCGAAAATGTCGAGCTCTTCTAGTTTATGCTAATTAAGCAATTTATATGCGAAAGATGATGGCATTGAAAATTTTCTGCGTACAGCTTCTTAAATTTCTCGACGGTGGAATAAATTTATGATTGACTGAATTTAAGTTAAAAGGAGATTATTTAAATAAACATAAAAAGATTTTTCCCTTTTAAATATATTTTAATCACATTACGAATAGATTTCCGTAATGTCGTTGAAACGAGAATTTGGGGGAAGTTAATCTGACGTCAGTGAAGGGTTGAATTGAAGCTAGATTGAAGATACATTTCTTTAATCAACCCACGAACTTGTCATCAAAATCATTGAGTGATCTTTTTCTGTTTGATTTAGTTTCATGTGGATTCATTCAAGATTCTCAAGCCTTGAAGGTTGATATCGAAAGATTCACCCTTCACTGAATTTGAGTGCTTTTCCTTCCTTCTCTTACCAAAATTTCATCGATGGAAATCACTTTCAGTCTATTCATGAAACTGTCTCGTGCAGGAACGAAAGATAATTTTTCATGAAAAAAGAAAATGAACCTTGTTGAACCTTCAGCAATGAACATTAATTTTATTGTAATTTATAAAGAAAGACTCGATGTGAGAAACGTTTCAAATTGCAATTCAGATATAAGAGAAGAAGTGAAACTCTGCGTTATCAGACAGCAACGACTATAACTTCATTAAAAAGCTACTTGAGTATCGTTGCTAAATTCCTTTATAAGAGCACCTTTATAGAATTTATATCGCACGATTATTTTTCTTGTTTATTACTTTTTTATGGTAAGCATTTCACGTACATGGATGGGGTTTGGTAAATCCCCAAAATATTGCATGTTTGTGATGCTGCTACAAAATGAATTTCTCTAAGCAAAATGGGATGAAAAAACAAAGCAACATTCCATCCACCAACTGGTCATTTCATCATTAATCTTTCGTAACATTTAACGTTTCCTATGCTTAGCCAATGTCAAGTAAAATTCATTCATCTTCCTCAAAAAAATATATAAAATATATTTTTATTCGACAGTTGATTGATTATTATTATGGGAAGTAGAAGCATGGAAAGTTCTTTTTTTGCTATTCATTCATTCATTTTTATAGATGGCAACTTCTTGTTGCTTCTGGTCATTGCACCAACAACTTCATTTCCAACTTTTGCGGAGGCGGTAAGAATAAAAGAATATAAAAAATAAGAAAAAAGCAAAATAAATAATCGAGGAAACTTAAGTTTCTCCCCTTGGGTGTATTGTTGGTCAATCCCAGTCAATCTCATTAAAAGTTTTCACAGACAATCGATGAAGATTTACAGCTATCGAGAGTCTAACAAGATGTGAGTGGGGCAGCAATGAAAATGCTCCAAGCATCCGTGAAAGTTTTATCTCGATTAAGCTTTCAAAACCTTCACGCTCCTTTTGGCTTTATTTGTGCAGAAAGGTATTCGTACATGCTTAAGTATTCTTATAATTCTTTCGCCTTGTCATGTTCCAAACGCTGACAGAGGTGAAAACGAATGAAAAATGCAGAATAATTCTTGTGGTCAATGAACGAGACAAGAGAGATTCAGCTTAATTAAAAATCATGACTTTATCTTTAACTTTCACGTCTTTTCCGGTATCAATCAAATTGGAGAATTTACGACTTTCGTTATAAGATTGTTTGTGCAAAGGAAGCTCCTTAAAAATGCGGTCATAAAGACAGAAATTACAGCTCTTATGTGATGAAATGTTTACTTGAAAAATGTGAGAGAGTCAGCAGACTTCCACTTGAAGCTTAAATGTGAAAGTCAAATTCCTTTTGCTTTTCCTTTTTCTATAAACATAAATTTCCTCCTGTAAAAGTCAAAATTTTAATGTTAGCAATAAATTTTTAATGAATGTCCAAACGCATTTGGTGTCACTGTCACCGCACTTAAAAGCAAAGTAAACAAAACAATTTTTTAAAAATATGACTTTGTTGGTTTTTTGGCAACAATTTATTTTGTTTCCTGCTATTTATTCTGCAGGTTTTTGCGTTACATTCAGACGAGAAGGGATTTCTAGACGATTGCTTTAGTTTCAAGCACAAACAAAACTCTCTGATGATGAGGTTTGTGTTGAATTCTTACACATAACTATGTATGTTGGTTGCCATTTTTTTGCCACTCAAAAGTTTCCCTCGTTACCGCAATCTGAATCCAGATTGTTCAAATATATGAACGAAGAAAATATTTTTGGCATTTGACTAAAGGAAGAGAATTACCTCATTTTATTTAATGGTCACGCTTGCTACGAAATCAACTTCTGCTTTTAAACTAATTCGAATCACAATCGAGTGTATTAAGTAATTTAGAAAATCGAAAAAACTTTTCTATGCTCAATTTACTCGCTTTATTAACAATGTCATCTTTGGACGAAGCAAAGCACAACTATGTGGAAAGTTTATTTTAGTCGATTCCGTTCAATTTCATCCAGAAGGGAAATTGACTAATACCGGAATGAAGCACATTTTATTGGTACCTTAGACAAGGGAAGGAAAAAGTTATTACATTGAGAATAAGGCAGAAAGCTTGTTTAACACATTTCCACAACAACGACGATAAAATCAGTCATGATGAAAGTCTGAAGAAAATTTCCTTTCACTTTACAGTTATTTATGATTCCTAGACGTTTAATCCGAAGCTGTCGGAAACTGAAATCAATTTGTGACTGCGTTGTGTGCTTATATTACTTGTAGGCGCTTTATGATTATTTTTCTTGTTTCGTATTGCTATGTTTAAGCTGAGACGTATGTTGTACCATTTGTAATTCCTACCTTTTTGTGTTCTCCCCATGCATCTTACAACCCTCTGCTTCGTATTTATTCGAAGCTAATGATACGAAATTGCGAAGAAAAATGACGAAAATGTGTGAATGATTTAGACAAAAGCAAATATCCAGGTGCTTATTTCTCTTGGATAAGCAGAAAATTTTCTATATTTTCTTTTTCTCTCTCATCTTGAACACATTTTTGCGTCAACGAATTATGCTGAAAATGTAAAACAAACAATTCGAAGAAGAGTAGAAGAAGAAATCGATTAAAGTTCAAAGGAAGGTGAAGAAAATACTTTTTATCTAATATTTATGATTATTTTATTTATTCAATCAATATTTGGATTTTTTTTACATTACGTCTTCAATGTTTCATTCATTTCTCATTTATTTTTGGAGTGCAAAACATTTCGCTTTCATCTCATCGTTTTGTAATAGAACAAAACAAAAGTTTTTCTTGCTTGCAAATCGATAATAAAAAGAACGAAAAAAAAGAAAACTTTCCATTCTATTGTTTCTGTTTTTCGCGTAATGGGAAAATTGAGAAAAAGAAGAAATAGAAAATCACTTGGGAAATCGAATGTCTATAGTTTTCCTCTAAGTTCTTTTTTTTTTTGGGAAAAGAAACGTAAAACTTATTTTTTCCAACTATGATTGTTACGTGCTATGGCAATGAAGATTGTAAAGCTAAAAACAAATTACGGAGGCCCCACCCTAGGGTGACGGGCAACCGTATTGGATTTGCCCAAAAATTTCAAAAAATTTTCTTTGCTCAATTACACTTAAAATGGCGTGAAACGTCGAGAAAAGTGGAGAAAAGCAGAAAAAAATTTTTTGTCCGCTTTCGGGTCTGTGGGGATGGATGGATGGATGGATGGATGGATGGATGGATGTAGACACTCGCATTTCTACATTTCTTAACCGATTTTAAAAATTTCTTCACCAATGTGTTTTAAATACGAATAGAAAGTTTCTATCAGATTATTGGGTGTGTACCTTTCCTCTTTCGGGTACCTGCCATAC